CTTTAGAAACGCATTTTTTAAAAAGAAATTAGACGTCAGATGATCATTGCTAATAATAAACAACAAAAAAAATTTTTCGATTTTTCCGAGATTTTTCCAAGGGGTACCCCTTCAATTTCTTCCAAATCTTCGTTTTTTGCCAATAACTCTCAAACCGTTGGAGATACGGGAAAATTGCATCAAACCTTTTTTGTAGAGGACGACGAGATCTACAATTTCCATGTAAAAATTCTTCGCTAGCGTTAATATTTAACGAGTTATTGACGAAAAACGAAAAAACAGTTTTTTGCAAATTACTCGTAAACTATTGAAGCTAGCGAAATAATTTTACATGGAAATTGTAGATCTCGTCGTCCTCTACAAAATGGTCGTATAAATGTCCACGTAAGTCCACCCGTTCGGGAGTTATTGACGAAAAACGAAAATTTCGCAAAATCTGAAGGGGTACCCCTTGGAAAAACTTCGGAAAAATGAAAAATTTTTTTTTTTGCGGAATTTCGAGAAATGCTTTAAATGAAAGTTGTAGATACTACTATTACCCGCAAAAATGATCCTATACAAATTTTCCAGCTCATACAACCTTAAAAATTTATATACAGCAAATACTTTGCAAGTTATTCGATGTCGTCACGTGACGAGAGTTTTAAGAAAGAATGACTAAGAAAGACGGTCAAAGGGCGGTTAGACTGGACGTCGATGATCGGTCCTGTCCACCGTTTCAGATGCACTTCTGCCCCGTAGGCGATTCCGTTTAGGTCCGCATGTTCCGTGAAATCCTTTTTCACGCGTCTCGGTTACGCGTGAGCGACGAGAGCAGACGGAGGAGGAATTTCGCGGGGGCGAGAGAAAAAGAGGAGCGGAGATGCCATCGGATGGCACCGCGTTCTGCTCCATAGATCATGGGCCGAGCTTTCTTTTCCCGTGTCCCCCTTTTCAGGAAACGGGCACAATGCGGCCGACCGGGCCTTCGCACCGGGCATTATACTAGGCCGCGGTCGACAATGAACGCGAACTGGCCCCATTGTGGCCCTCACAGCCAGGAGGCCTTCCTAGGCCTCTGCCACGACCGTGTTACCGACGAAACGTCTTCATTAGCGCGTCCAAACGTGCCTCGTTCTCCTCGGTTACGTCGTTACGTGGACATCGATTTAAGAAAGGCACAGTCCATTCTCGTGCTGAACCCGGAGTTTATGGTACGCTTGTTGTGTACCGAGGCACGGTTTGATATACGTGAGACGAGTTGTTTAAACATCTTCACTCGACACGCAAGGTGCAACGTAGATCATAAAATCAATCCATTTAATAAGTTTAACCCATTTGCATCATTCGGTAAAATGAAAAATTGCCCATGTTTTGTCCCAAAACATTTCTTTCATTATGTAAAAATTGTAATACGCGCTGATCTTTTAATATTTTATATCATTCTTTATATTCATTAATTTTGCTATAAGCGCATAAAATCCGCTGTCTACTTCTAAAAGACCCGTTCATGCCACTCACTTCTGAGCTTCCCATCTAAAGAATTTTCTCCCAAAAGAATCCTCTACCCGTTGCTGTGGTAACCATGTGGAATTTTCACATCGGCCGATCGGTTTTTATGACGGCAATCGATCCGTTGGGGAAACGGGGACTAGCTTGAACCGAAGCGGTCGTTGTAAATCGCCCACGGGGGCTGATCGTGGCTGAGTTACAAACAATGCTGGGTAACAACGCGCGCGGGGCACAATGTCTGCGTGGATTCACGCGCGGATCGCAATAATTTCCCGGGCCGGTGTCCCGCGCGTGATAGGTGGTAACTGGTAACTGGTACCTGGTGATTTGTAACTGGTAGCCCGCGGTGCCTGGCCCCGGCTAATCCCACAAAGAGCGCCGACCTTTGAAATTTCTGGACAATTTATTTCGTGGCATGCACCGCACGTCTCTCAACCGACGTCATTGTGACGGGGATTTGGAAACAAACCTGCTCTTTAGGAATCGGTCTCTCTATCCCTATTTTTTCGTTTCACCGATTTTTGATAGTTGAATGTAAAAGAATAGTTGTTGGCAATTTTCGAAATAATTTTTCGATCAAAAGATGACTGCAGGACGAGTACAAGTTTAAGTTAAATAGAGATTCTGGGTTAGATATTTAATGTTCTCGAGGGATGAACTCTTATCTGAGATACGAAGAGGGACAGTGACTTAAAAGGAAAAGAAATGTTGAGAGGTAGGGGAAAAGGGAGAATTCGGCGGGTGTCCAGAAACATGAGGACGCAAGGTCCAATTTCTCCGGGCGCGCGCAATGCGTTGCAAAAACGCGTTGGATACCGACGATTCCGGGAAAAAAGGCCACTGTGTCTTCCCTCTGTCGTATGGAATCGAGATCACGGTTCGTTTCCGTTTCTACTTCGCGTGAAACGTAACACTGCAGTTTCCGATAGCTGGTTAAACAGAAAATACATATAGTCAAGGATTTTTCGTTCTCTTTCATGATTTCGTTAATAGTGCGAATGTTTATTATGCAAATTACTCTTTTTATAAATAAAATTAAAGAAATGCATATAAAAAACTTTAATATTTATAGTTAACTAATCTACAAAAACTACAGATTTTATATTATTTTCAAGTCTTGTCACCTTACGAGAAATTAATATTATAAAAGAACAGGTCGAAAATCATTCTTTAATAATCAATTAAAAATATTACATGGAAAAAATATAGCAAAATATAGCATAAATATAGTAGTTCCTGTTAACCGATATTAAAAATCGTAAGGACTGTAAGTAGTACAACTCAATAAATGATCAGACGCGCTAACCATTTCCTGGTTTTCTTCACTAATTCTGGTTGCCGCTCAATTCTGCCTCAATCGCCGTACTGAATGACGGAAGGTATCGATTATACGATACCAAACTCGTCGATAAGTAATACCTAGAAGAGTACCTTTAGGAATACCAGCGCGGTTACGGTTATCCTTGACAATGCGCGGTTAGCACAACCTGAAACGCGCTCATCCGTAATCAGGGCCCGGTGCTCGGCCGTGGAACGTGCAGAAGAACTCGGTTTTCCAACGAATCCAACGAACCGAGCGACAGGAACTGCACGCGCGTTGCACGGGCCGCGCGTCGCGTTCACGTAACGCGCGGCCTCGAAAAACTTGCACGGCCCTCTCCGGCGGCCGGTAATTTCAGCCCGTCGGAGACGTGGCCGCGGCAAAAAAAGCCCGAGCCCCGACAAAAGAAGCCCCCGATACCGGGGCGAAATTACCTTCCGACAACCTTACACGGCCACGGCCGGGGGAGTCCTAATAAGGGGCGACGGTATAAATAAAGTCATTTGCGGTAGTCGCCGGCCCCGCTCGTTCCACGGGTCCGGAGCCTCGGCCCGTCTCCCTCGCTCGTTCACGCGCGGCTCCTCGCTCACGGGTTCGACGAATCGGCCCTTTCGTCGCGTCGCGTTGCTACGAGCGTTCGCGAACGGCTCTCCTCGGGGCCTCGGTTTGTTTTGCGGATTAGGCTCGTTTTAAGGTTCGCCTTTGCGCGCGCGAGTCGCGCCGCGACGAATCGAGAAACGCGGACCGCCGCACGTCCCCCGGTTTTTGTTCGCGCGAGAATCAAGTTGTCCTCGTTCCAATAGCGTTGGGACCGGCGGGGACCGCTTCGCGGTTCACCGCCTCGCGCGGCTGTTCACGACTACCGACGGTTCAAAATTACTACGCGTTTAATTGTTTCGGTAATATTCAGTCGCGAACGTAAATTGCACTCGCTGGTTCCCCGGCGGTTAATTAAATTAGGTTCGTGCACGCGGGAGGTGCTTGCGTTTGTATTTGTTAAATACAATTCTCGTTACCTTTCGCTGTATGTAGTAAAAAATAATATTAGACATTAAAAGTTGTTGTAACAAAATTTACGTACGTTTTTTTGTTAATTCGTTTCCCACATTCATTTTAACGATTTTTTGTAAGGCAGTGAAAGTACAGAAATTTGTATTATTCGGTTTTATTAAAATTACGAAGAAGTATACAGGTTCTAAGTATACAAAAATTACAATAACATTAAGAAGAGGTTCTCTTGGAGACGGTATGTACAACAGATTACATTTATCATTATTATCATTATTATTATATTATTTTATATTATTTATATTTATGTATAAATCGGATATCTGTGTGTACGTACGTGCTGCGTGCACGAGGGTGCGATTTCAACAGAGTGGACAAGTTAATTAGTAATTACAATTGCTCGCCCTCGTTTATGAAACGAGCGGTAGTTCTTTTGGTTAAAACACGTTCTTGGGGGGAGATAATAATTAAGAGAAAAGCATTGCAAGTATTGTCGTTAATGATACACCTGTCCTGCGTCCGCTTACGTACGCTACCTATTATTGAGCTAAACGAGATTAAAAAAAGGGGGGATGAAGTTTAAATGCGACACGGCCTGCTCGCTCTTCCTCGAGTCCAATTAAGCGACGTTGCCGCGGCTTCGTCTTCGTCAGACACTTCTCGAATCTCATAAAAAAAACGCAATACTATACGAAACTGCTGTTCGCATGATCGAATCCGTAGATGGACGTGCCCGATGATTAATTATATTTTTATTCACAAATCTGATGGATCGCAATTGCCAATTTGTAAAGACGAAGCCGGGCGACATGACAACTACGACCCGCCGTTTGAAAAAATAGACTAAACAAATAAACAATAACAACAATTAATAATAATCTTCCGGCCACCGCGGCGGCATTATGCGCGACTTATGACACTGTGTTTACTTGAATCACGCGTCAACTCGTTCCTTCCATTTCGCCAAGGATCAGACGTTCGTAGGAAATTCGATCCAACGTCATTTTTTAATTTCAATCTTTCAAAGGTTTAAGTCGTTTCAATTGTATTTATGAATGACGACGTTCTACGATGATCGAATTTCTTTTGGGAAATACTTGGCGACTTTGTTAGCCATGAAGGAAGAACGGTGAGGAGGAAGATGAAACGTGAAAACGAGAGTCGGAAAGGCGATAAGCGACTTCCCTTTCCATTTCATTGGTTGTATTTTGGCACGGGGATGAGTAACCAGCACGTCTCTTTGAATGTGACAAAAGCTTATATTCATCGTTTCGAATCCCGTCGACGGCAAAAAAGAAAGCGCTCTCTGAAACGCGTCTAACGTACGTCTAAAAATCATCTGTATAAATAAATATGAGCGAACGATGCTCGAAAATTTCCCTCCCTACCGCAGAATTAGTTTTTATCGCTTTGGTTATTTTCAAAAATTACCATAAATAACTTTTCGTTCAGACGCTCTCCGTTCAATAAATAATTTTAATTTAATAAAGCTTCCCGTTGAGAATGTCAGAGAGTTTGCGTTACCGATTTTAGTTGAAGGAGTTTAAGCGCGTCGATGGAGAAGTTTGCTTTTTCGGCTCGCGAACCTGTGGAGGCTACCGTCCAGCGGTTTGCGTCCACAAATCTCCGTCGATCGGGCTGCTTCACTCTTTTCGGTGTCTAAAGGGAGTCGAAGTTTGATTCTCGATCGCTGGTCTGAAAAAATCAAACAAAATTATTTAAAGTTTATCGTTATTCATACATTCTAACAAGAACAAGTGCTGTATTTCAAATCGTAAAATACAGAGAAATGACCACATTTATCAGTGAGAGGTTTGAAATTCAGGGCAAGTTGAAGGACCCCATGCTGCGAGAAGAGAGCAGCATGTCTGTCAATTATACTTCTCTCTTTCTACGAATTCTCTACATTTTCGACACATATGGAAGCTACTTCCAGTAGAACATGCTCTAATCTAAGGTCTAAATTATCGCAACCAGTCTGCAGAGTGCACACAAGTATTAGGGTGAACCGAAAGTTCGTGCGTTTTTTTTGTCATTTCAATTTGTGTAATTTTTAAAGTCAGTAAACTTTTGAAAAATTATTTAATATTTATGCATTAGTTACAATTAATTTATTGGTAAATCGTTTTGTACCACTCCGTTCAAAGGCGAAAGGTATGAAACAAACGACTACTACTAATCAAACAAGGTTTGGCGACCCTTGTCCCAAGCACTTCGACGACTATACGAGTTTCATATTTCCGCGGTAACTCACCCTGTCCGGGCTGTAGAGAGGCGGATGCTGGGCCGGAAGTCTCAGCGTGCTTCCCAGATCCCTCTCGGCCATTGTGTGCCCCTCGCTAGCGCTGTCTCTGGTGTCCCTGTTGTCTCTGGCGTCCTTAACGCTGTTCCTACGCGCCTCGGCCACTTTCGTCGGCGGCTGGATCGTTGTCTCGCCGCAAGACCTGGCGAGAGTCGATCCGGCCTCGCCTAAGTCCAGCCTCAACAATTTCGTCGGCGCTTGGATGGTCGTTTCGCCGCAGGAACGCGCCAACGTCGAGCACTGGTCGGCTTGGAGGTCGCCGGTACGCAGCACTTTGGTCGCCGTCTCGACCGTCGTCTCGCCACAGGAACGAGCCAACGTGGAATCGGCGTCCATCGGCCGGGTCACCGTTGCCGACACCTGGTAGATAGACAAATTTTAAGTNTCAGTATGTATAATTTTTAAAGTCAATAAAGGTACTTTTGAAAAGTTATTTAATATTTACACATTAATTACAATTAATTTATTGGTAAATCGTTTTGTACCACTCCGTTCAAAGGCGAAAGGCATGAAACAAACGACTACTACTAATCAAACAAGGTTTGGCGACCCTTGTCCCAAGCACTTCGACGACTATACGAGTTTCATATTTCCGCGGTAACTCACCCTGTCCGGGCTGTAGAGAGGCGGATGCTGGGCCGGAAGTCTCAGCGTGCTTCCCAGATCCCTCTCGGCCATTGTGTGCCCCTCGCTAGCGCTGTCTCTGGTGTCCCTGTTGTCTCTGGCGTCCTTAACGCTGTTCCTACGCGCCTCGGCCACTTTCGTCGGCGGCTGGATCGTTGTCTCGCCGCAAGACCTGGCGAGAGTCGATCCGGCCTCGCCTAAGTCCAGCCTCAACAATTTCGTCGGCGCTTGGATGGTCGTTTCGCCGCAGGAACGCGCCAACGTCGAGCACTGGTCGGCTTGGAGGTCGCCGGTACGCAGCACTTTGGTCGCCGTCTCGACCGTCGTCTCGCCACAGGAACGAGCCAACGTGGAATCGGCGTCCATCGGCCGGGTCACCGTTGCCGACACCTGGTAGATAGACAAATTTTAAGTATAATTCTAATTATTCTATTATGTCCAAGGAAAATCGACACAGAAAATAGTAACGGATTTGCGAATACCTGAAAGCCGGCGCTGACGAGGGCACCGGACGGCGTGGATTGCGTCCTGGCGATCTGCATGTCGGTCTCCTTGCAGTCCTTCGCGCTGGATATACTCTGCTTCCTGTTTCCGGTGTTGTGCGTGCCGCTGTCGAGATAGTTGAGCAGCTTGTGCTCCTCCGTCGAGAACGTGCTCATCCCGGATTTGTAATTCTGCGGCGACTGGGGTGCCGAACGGAACTTCGCCCGCGGTATCATTACCGTCAATGAACGATCCCTCTGCTCGTCGCTTACTGGCACTATATGATTTTTATTTATTAATCAATTATTATTATCATCAACATTATCATTATTATATATTTTAAATTTTAATTAGACTGTTCAATAAAATCTTAAAAATTCTGCCGTAAATTCTCATGTAATAAATTAATCATTAAACGAAAATTAATTCACCGAGTCCAATATTAGAAAACTTATTAAATTTGTAAATGTATACAAATTTTTATGTGTGTCATTGTAGTTTATATTTTTCTACTTGATTGTAAACGAACCTGATGCGGGTATCATCGTTGCTTTCCTCGGTGGATGCCTGGGTTTCGCACTGATTTTCCTGACGGGTCTTTTAGTGGGCGGCAAGGGCGCTATCATTTGCGGGGGTGGCGGCAGAACGTGCGGCACGTGGTGAGGTATCGCCAGATCCGTGACGCTACCCTCGCTGCTCGTGTCGCCGCCGGTTCCAGGAATCATCGCCCTTCTGTCGCCGGTCCTGTGCCTGCGGCCCGGTTGACGGAAACACGCCATGCCCACGCACACTGCCAGAAGCCCGAGTAATATTGCTCCAGTTGTAACCAGAGCTATCAGCAACACTAGAAAACAGATTTATGCGTCCGTAGAATTGGAACTGTTCCAAACCCTCAACAGGTTTCTCTTCTATTTTTTTTTTTACAATAATCAACGGTACCTTTGAGATTAACTTGACACCTCTGACCACTGTGCCAGGGGAAGCATTCACAGACCTCTTGGCCATTGGTATTGGTCACGCAGTGTCCCTTGTTGTTGCAACTGGGACAACCTAAGGGTGCTTGAGAGCAAAGTCTACCGGGATAAGCAGGATTTTCGGATAGGTCCGCCCAGCCCTCCTTGCAGGAACACTGATAAGAGCCTCGTAGGTTGAAACAGGCTGCGTTCGGCGAGCAATCGTGATGCGGCCCACCGTCTTCCGTCGCGCACTCGTCAAAGTCGAATGCATCGATCTGAAACAGCAATTTTACTTCGATGTAAAAATTTGCGATCTGACATGTTAAGTGCCGTGTCAGTCACCGGTGAAGGTGAGTAAAACAAAATAGGCATTAATTAAAAATGAGAAATATATGTTTTAATTTGATGCTCACCACGTTGAGATTCTTCGAAGCGTGGACCTCGGTGCCTCCCAAACTATAATTGCTGGCGATTAGATACTTCCTAAGGATCTCTTTTAATCTGGTTTCGTTCGTATTCTCGCTGAGCTGAACGTGGAATTCGACTTTAGTCGGATCGGACGAGAAACCGGCGATATTCAACCCTCTGTAGATATCCCTGAGATCGCTCTGCATCAGAGTTCGGTCCAGGGCGTCCTTGGTAGGTCCCGTCAGCCTTCTGAACGCCGTTGACGTTGAATCGTTCAGGCCTGGCTCGTAAATCACTCGTTCGTGTCCAATACGGTCCAAGCCGACTCTTAACGTGTACGTGTAAGTAGCTGGAAAATGATTTTTTTTTTAGAAATGAGCCGTTTACTTCGAAAGTGATGATCGGAGTGACGAAAACGATGATTCATCTATTTTGGTTAATAAATAAGTAAATTATTGACTCACGTTTGCAAGGTCTGTCAGGGAACATCCTCGCGAAGCCTGGGCGACAGACGCATCTCATTTCACCACCGGCCTCGGCGCATATCTCAGCTTTGGATGCTCTGCATTCAGGTGTGCATTGATTGGTAACAGGTTGAAGAGATACAACGGGTGCTCCGAGGACTCCACCAGCCAGAACCCTGTGAATCTCGTTTCCAGTTGGATCTTGTTCATCTCGCGATATTTCATCGCCATACTCAGCTTCCACCTTAAAAAACAATTTATAAAATTAACAATATTATAATAACGTAATATGATAATAATATTGAATTAAAAATGCACTTACCTCTTCGGCACCAGGTGCCGGCGGTTTCTGATCGCTTATCACCACGAATATCGAGTCATTATCAACTGCGTTTTCGTAAGACGACGGCACCCGAGACACCACCGATTGGAGAATCGTCGACGTGATCGTGGAAATCACGCTGGTCGGACGCAGCAACGTTTCCGTCACCGTTTCCACGGTAGTCGACGTCAAGGTGTGGGTGAGGAGCAAAGTTCGCGTCGTGGGCGGAGTACCGAGCACCGACGTTTCCGTCCTGGTCACCGTCGACGTTTGGAATCGTACCACCTTAAATCGAATCGATGCACGACATAATTCAATAGTAATTCATATTCTTTGGGCAATAAATATTTATAATTAATAAATATTCCTATTATTATTTATTTCTTATTTTCCTCTTTTCTAATTTCTTTTTTGTTCTCGTTATTTGTTTTATTTTTAAGTTTGTATTCGTATCATCTATTGTCAGTATTTTAAGTTCGTGTTTTCCTTTGTATATTCTACTCACTTTTACTTCGTAATAGTAACTCACCTCTTTGGGCTTCATGCGCATTGTCGTGGTCCCATTGACAGCGCGCGTCGCGCTGTTAACGTCCTTCGTCATCTTGATCACCGGCTCGTTCCTCCTGTCGATGTCCTCCGACAAAGTGCTCGTTACCTTCGTTACCGAGCTGTCAACCCTGGTCACCACGCTCGGTTCCCTCGACTCGCTCGTCTCGTTCTTCCGTTTGTATCCCGTGGCCGACGGGACGACCACCACCTTCGAGGCGTCGTTCTTCGTCATCGTCGGCCGCGGTTCTTTCTTCGCCTGACTCGTGGTCTCCACGCGAGTCAAACTCTCCGTAGGTTCCACTTTGCTCGATGGCGGAACGTTGTCGTGGCTGGATTCCAGGAATACCGGTTGCTCCGGACGTTTAACCGGGTTGCGAGAGATATCGAAATTGTGAGACCGGGTCGGTTCCACGTCTCGAGTCGACGAAGACCTGCTGGGCTGGATGTGGTCCACTTGTAGTGGTCTGAGCTTCGTCGGGACCACTAGATTCGTCGAATGCGTCGGGGTCGGCTGTATCGAAACTCTGAAACAGATGATCAGCCAATATTATTATTATTATTATTATTATTATTATTATTATTATTATTATTATTATTATTATTATTATTATTATTATTATTACTTTATTAACGAGCATGAGCTCTTACAAAGCCTCTCACAAAAGGACACAAGAAAAGCATGAGAAAGTTAAGATATTAAGAATAGATAATACAAATATAAATTAAAAAATAAATATAAGAAAAGAATTGGTCTCGGACAGATACGATGACCATTCTGTAAAATTCATTCGTTTGTAAAATACATCGGAAAGAAGAATCCTACCTGGAAACGGGCCTGGTGTCGAAGGGTCGCACGGTATAAATGCTAACATGCTCCGTCATTCTCGTTTCAACCGGTCTGAGAATCTCGGGCACGTCCACAACCACCGGGAGATCGACGGTACCGTGTATGATCGGTATCTTCGACTCGATATCGTGTACGACAGGTATGTGAGACGTTGCGACAGCCGTCGCGATTTGAATCGAGCCAGACACCGCCACCGCTGGCCTCACCGTGGCTATTTCTAGTGGCCTAGTCGTTTGCGTCACCGGCGGTGGAGGTACCATGTCCTTAAAAATAAATGCAAACATATAAAAATGACTTTTTCTTCCACTACCTTTTCAAATTCAATTGCACTGATTTAATCGACTAACTTGAGAGAGTAATTCTACGATGAAAGGCCTGGTAACGGAAGGTCTCGGGCTAGGAGGCACCATAGTAACGCTCGGCAAAGGCGCAGCAGAAGATTCCTTCAAAGGAATATACTTAGGCGGTGGCTTCAAGCCAGATTCGTTGTCAGTCGTAAACGAAAATCTATCTTCCATAGGACCATCGGTCGTGGTGATATCAACTGGTGGGGGCGATAAACCTACGACGTCCCTCGAAGGTATCGGCGGAGGCTTTAAATCTTCTTCCTCATTTTTGTTCGACTGATTCGATCCGACGACTGGCCTCAAAGGTGGAGGCATCATGTCTCTAGAAGGCACACTCATTCCTTCCATATTATTTAACATATCGTTAGAAGTATCAACGGGTCTTATTCTCATGTTCCCTTCGTTCCCCTTGTTAACTTCCGATGGAGCGAAGCTTGTCTGATAAGTAGAGTCCGTCTTCTCGTCAGTTTTCTTATCGTTAGTGATCAGCATGCTCGGCGGACGCTCGGTCTGCGTCTTACTATCAGTTTCTTCGCCTATAGCCTCCACAGGCATGGAGAATCTTATATTGGGCCGGGAATCTGGTTTCTTGTTCGTTGAAATGGTGATCGGTTCAGGCACTTGAGGCTTCGGCTTGGTAATTATATGAGGATATTCCGGATGAATTCTTGTCGCCGATCCCAGTTTCACGGTTTCACCAGTCTGAGAGTATTGCTGATGCATAGAATTATTCCTCGTAACTTCGCTTTTATTAGAAATCCTTCCACTATCCCAGTTTAGATCGACGAATCCTCCTAATTGCAAGTGACTCTGATTCTTGTCCGAATATGTTAAACTGCTATTTGCGAACGGTTCTACGGTACCAGATTTATCCTGACTAGACTGCGTCTCCAAGAATTGGCCATCCGGTCTGGAATGTAACACAGGTCTCGTTTCAATCTTATTTACAGTAGGAACCCTCGGATATGGTCTGTTATGCTTGTCCGATTCTGGAACAAATTGAGGAATGATCGCAGGTGGTTTCAAGTCAATGGTGTCGTCGCGGGTCCTAGGCGTTGTCTGTTCACTCTGCTGGTTCTTGAAACCAACAGGAGATTTGTTTCCGTAATAACTGGTCGGCACACCTTGCACTATGTCGTACTCGGGTTTAGTTTCCATCCATTTGTAACCGTAATTAGTATTCTCGTGACCAGTGTACACGCCAAATGGTTTCCCTTGGACAATTGGAAGCTCGTGAGTCTTAACGTCGTAGTAATGCGTTTGAGGGGACGTGTCCTCGTTTTTATGGCTAAACGGAGCTCCAGCACTTATCCAGACAGGCTTCTCTTTCTCCTCGTGTCGATGGTCCATGCTTCCAATTGGTTTCCCCATCACCGTGTTATCAGGATTCTTAAACGACGTACTGTTACCACGATTATGAGTGGACGTCTCGTCCGTTGATTTGTCCCTATCCTCAGATTCCTTAATCTGATCGTGATAATTCACCGATTCGGAGGACGCGGTTTCAGAGTCAAATGTCTTTTCCGTTTGAGTGTTGCTCTGCCAAATTTCTGGCTGTTCTTGATCAGTCGAATGGTCCGCATTTTGTATTTGAGAATCGTTCGGCTTTTCTTGTTTTATTTTTGGATTTGAAGGATTGTGATATCCCACTGCACCAGTCGGCAGATGCTCCTCTGTCCTCTCAGCCTGGGGCTTCATTTGGTTTCCTGGTCTCTTTTCGTGATGCGTCTGAGCTGGTCTGTCCCGATGGTCCACCTGTTGTAAGAAAATAAATAGTGGAGCTGTATCGTTTTATTTAATCTCTTTATCTTGTAATGGAATGCGAATTTCATACCTGAGAATGGGAGCCGAAAGATGGTTGCCTATCAGTCACGTACTTATCTCCAGGCGTCGAGCTGATTGTTCTCGGCGGTTCGTGATGGATTTGAGGATTGGCGACCGGTCGATGAGGGAGCACGAACGTGTTCGTATTTTGCGTCTTCGCCGGGGGCCTCTGAGGCCCATTGAACATAGGTTTCCTGATATTCGGCCTCTCCACGTACATCGGTCTGTCCAAAGGACGGCTAGTAGTCGATCTCAACGGCGGGCGAGGCCTCAGTCTGTTATTGATCAGGAGCCTCGGTGGTTTCTTGTCTTTCCAATTCGTGTTTAAAACAATTTCATTCCCCGAGTCTGGTTTAGCCAAAAGAATGTATCTGTGCGAATTGTCGGACGGATTTGACAATTCTGTTCTCCTTGGCGGAGAGACGGACTCCCCTGGTTTAGGAATCTTCGAGTATTGTCCCCGCGGTGGCAAATGATTCGTGGAATGTACGTGAGGATGCATTTGAGGACGGACATTCACGGTTTCCGGCCTGTGATGCACCAGAATCTCCGTGTGCACGTGCCCCTGACCACCCAAGACACCAGAGTTGTCGGGATGCTTGATCACGTGTACGTCTGAAGGCTTCTTCTCGGGTCGGTTCAACTTGTCCTGCGGCTTCTCGTACTCGAAACGATTCGGTGTCAGGGGAATCGTCGCTGGATGATTGGGAGAGTGCTTTTCAGGAATTTTGAAGTTCAGAGGCGGCGATGGGGGAACCATGTAATCCGCAGGGTCCTTACCGTTGGAATACTGTGGTAGATCTTCCACCTAGAAGATTTATTTATTATTAAACTGCGGGTATTTATGCATGATACATATGTAAAAGTCATGTGACATATTTAGAATCCTCTAATTACGAAATATGTATATTTCTGCCTTCCTGTTTTCCATGAAAATATTCGTTCGTAATATCTGCAATTTTCTCATCATTCATTAAAAAATGAACACGTTTAAGCTTACCCTTTGAATTCCAACAAATCCTAGACCAACTTCTGACTCAGGGTACGGTAATGGATCGTCGAAATACTGGCCACTGATGTGCGGCTCGCTCGTGTCTCCGAATATCAGCGCTTGAGTCCCACCCTGAGGAATCACTACGTTGGCTACTTGACTAGGCTGGATGTTGACCAGTAAAGGCTGCCCCGTCGATCTGTCGATCACGTGCGGCACTTGGTGAACTATGGGTTCACCTGATGCAGGTTTCGGCTCTGAAGATTGGATAACTGTGTGCGAATCCGGAAGAAGAGGATTTTTAAGCGACCATGGGGGCCATATCTGGTCGTCGGATGACCATGGTTTTCCTATTGGCCTTTCTGCCTCGGGTTTCTGAAAATTTTTTCATAATAAATTCATAAAAACAGTAAAACCTTTTTTGTTTTTAATACATAAATAAATTATTAAAAATAAATTTTGTCACTTAGATTAAGAATAAGACAGAGTAGAATAATTACGTGATCAAATTGCGGAATCCTCGAAGGATCCTTGGCGCTCCAAGGCCTCCTCGGTTTTTCAGGACTCCATTCCGGTTCCTTCAGATTCGAATTTGGATTCGCATACTGCTCCACGTTCGGTCTGTTAGGAGGCTTCAACAGAGGATCATTTTCCAACACATCTTGTTTCGAGCCCATCCTCTTAGGTGGTGACGATTGAACCGAAACGGGAAGCAACTTCTGAGGCTGTTTGGGTATCAACGTGGGATTCGTCTCGACCGGCATGGACACTGGTATCTTTAAATGCTCCTCGTAAATCTGATGCGCGGGATATATTTGTATCTGCGGGCTTATACGTTGACTCTGAGACGTCTGTTGAGCCTGACTGTCCTCTCTGTCGTTCTCCAACACCTCTAAAACTGGGTGAACCGGGATGTTGGGAACTGGTAACGGCGGTGGCTTCATCCCGATGTGTTCTTCGTCTTCCAGGAACGTCTGAGGCGGTCTTGGCCCCATTTTCCCTGGTTTTCCTATGATCACGTCGCTGTTCGCTGTGATCACTTCCCCTGGGGAGATCGGAATCCCATCTGCCAAGCTGGACGCTACTTTGTGACGAGTCTCGGCGATGTAATTGTGGTTCACGTTTACCAAATGTGTACCTTCGAAGAGAATTATTAATCAGATTTTTATTACATTAAAAATAGCATTCGATACCAATAAACACTTCCTCTTTAAATAATGGTAAGAATTGATAAGAGATCGCATGATAAAAATTGAATCAAACGTAAGTACCTATGTTTTGACTTTCGGCAGTCTCGATGTCTCCGTCAGCGAACTCAGCCACGGGAATATAAATTGGCGATCTTTGCGTGGTCGCTTCTTGAACCTCCGCCTGCGAAACCGTGTCATTCCTACGAGTTGCCGATGTTTTTCCCTGCAGCAGACCAGCCATCGCCGTAATCACCGGGCCTAAAGCCGACAAACTATTGATACCCAATGATCCCAAACTGAGAAGATTGCTCATTTGTAAATCGCTCGTGTTTTGATTAGTTGGTTTCTTATTCTGGACAGAGTCGGAGTTAGAAACTGTCACGTTGTTTTCCTGTAATCATAATTTAGTTACACAGGAGTTTCAGGCAAAATGTTGTAATTTAATAATTTACCTGAGGGATCTGTTCAGAAGGTTTCAAATTCTGCTCGTTAGCGACGGAGGATGCCTCGGTGGATACCAAACTCGCTGAAATCGTCTCGTCTTTTTGAATTTCCACCGTTGAACTCGCTTCTTGGTAGCTGGTGCTCGTTGTAGGATCGATTTGGTCCTCTTCATCGAAGAAGATGATCGTCGATCCCGTTACCACGTTTTTAACCGAATCAGAATGGTGTGCCGTTGTCAATAAAGCGTTCATGTACCCAGCATCCAATAAACTCGGTGCTATCGATTCTGTGACCACGTTCTCCACGATGTGAGACCTCGAGGAGACAGTAGTGGAAGTTTCACCGTCTGGTCCCGCCTGAAAATGGATTCGAATTTTCCGAGTTCATTCAATAACAAAACTCATACAAATTATTCGTTTACCTGCTGTTGCTTTAAAGAAATAAAGGAAACAGGGAGGTTCGAGATAAAAAAATTAATCAATGATGAATCGATTAATACATACATATATGTATATATAATTTACCTGTAGCAACGTAGTGAAGTAAGTGAACGTAGTCAGATACGTTTTGGTAGCGAAGATTTGTATAGGTTCCGGGGTTGGACTGACCAAAGCTGTTTTCATGGTCGTTTTCTTCACGGGGACTTTCTCCAGAACAACGTCCGTCGACGTCGCGACGTTCGTCCGAACCACGGTACTACCCTTTTCCAAAAAGGTGTTGTAATAAGTGTAAGTGATGTAGTACGTCTTCATGACGTCCGTCATGCTTTCCTCTGTACTGTCTAACGCTGTCAAAGTGGTGGTGACGCTGGTCGGTCGTGGAGGAGGTGCTGACTCTGTCACTATGAGCTACAGCGAGTGTATTTAATTTTATATGAGATCATTGAACTCCTGCAATATCATTAACATTGGCTTGGGAAAAATGTTTCTTCGTATTTAGACGATCAAACGCACTTATCGCAATTTTTTCTCCATTAATATTACACATATTTGGTTTAAACTTATTGGGTGCAGAAGATAAGAAAATATTTTTCCAATTTCGATATAAAATACGAAAAAACTTTTTCCACGATCTATTAATTTTATTCATTCTACCTGGGTGACGGTGTCACTGGTGGTTTCAATTCTGGTGCGACCGTCCTCCATGAACGTTTTCTCCAACAACCTGGTACTGAGATAAGTATTCGTTTCCGGTCGCGGCGCCTCCGACGGTTCCAAAATCATATCGAGATAATGCTGCGGCGCAGTGACCGTGTTCGTAATAACTTTCGTGCTGCTTTCGAGGGCGTCGTTCACATCTGAGTGATCGGTGTTCAACGCCAGGTAAGTGTACGTCGTCTTGAATACCTCTGTGCGCAACGTCGGCGAAGCTTCCAATGTTACAGCGGCTGTCTCCGATCCTGGCTTCCTGTGCCGTTCCTCAGTCGCCGTGTTAGCTATCACCTTTGATGATTTAGGAATAATATCGATAACATTAATTCATTAACATTTATTCAAATAGGATAAATGATCCATCGTTGATATTTAGATTATACGGGATGGTGTACAACCGAAAGTGGAGTGAATATAATAACATAAAAAAATATATACATAATATATATAATAATAACATAAAAAATATTATAATAATATAATATTTTTATAATATTATAATAATATAATATTAAATATATATAAATATATATAATAATAACATAAAAAAAATACAGAAAAATTCTATATTTTCGTCGGATTTTTTAACATAGAATCGTCACCCTTTCGGTTGTGCCGCCAGTTATGGGCCACCCTGTATATCCTTGATCAAATTCATTGACAATATCGTACTTGCTGTTCGGTGGACACGGTAGTAGTACCGTCCTTGGTGATAGTAGCGAGGTACGTGAAAGTGGTCGTGCACGTCTTCGTGACAAATTCATTCGGCTTATCTTGCGGGAGCATCATGACAACCGCGTCGGACAGCGTCAGCGTGGGCTGAGGCGCCGAGTTCTCCCAACGTAGCGCCGGCGTCGGACCGGCGACGATCACCTCGACTCCATTCGACATCACCCGGGTGGCCAGATTTAACCTTCGACCCTCCTCGTCCTTCACCCCATCGTGCTCGCCTGTCGTTACAATTCCGCGATCAAACGATTACAACCCTCATCACGTTCTCGTTTTAACAACCCCCTTCTGCAATTTCTTGACAGAATGCGTACATCGAGAAAGAAATGCACCTTTTAATCAGAAACTCAGATACCATTTTTCATAGACTCAGGTGTCCTTTAATTTTCTCTGTACACTGTGTTAAGATGTGTGTCCAATAATTAAGAAACAAAAAATATACAGAATAGACTAGATAAGAGTTTAAGTATGTACAAGATTGGATTTCAATTTACAAGTATATACAGTTACAACTGGCAGAATTCTATTGTACAAGAAGTGGAATAAGACTCGAAAGAGATTTTTGTACAGGAAACGTAATATTAGTCTAAAGAAGAATAAATACTTTTTACATTTGTCGTCCAGTGCTCTGTACCCAACGTTTAATCATTTAACCCATTCGCATCATTACCGTATATAATATGCTCAATTTTCTTAGCTAGTATATATACAAATTAATGGAACATCTATAGAGTGTTGAAATATGAAATTCTTCTTACAATTTTTACTTAATTTATAAAAATTTGGTAATGAGGGCCTTATTTTTAATGCTTCCTTACTATGCAAATTGTTAAATATTCAAGCAATTCTTTGCACAACTAAAATATACGATCAATTTTAAAGATTGATTCGGTATAGAGTACTGGACAGCGTTTTGTGAAAGAAGAAGGCTATTCGCAAGAGCCAGTAGTAGCTACTCACCAGCAGCGGGCACCGGGCTATACACAGACGAAACGGAGTAGTGCGGCGACGACTCCACGGTAGGAGTCACGGTGACGGTGACGGGCACCGTCAACGTGAGCGTCGTCACTCTCGGTCGCACGGTCGTCGACGAGCTAACTTTCGTCTCCAGTCCGTTCAGTTGCGTCACCACGTACGTGTACGTCCTAAGTCGCGTCGACGTGACCACCGTCTCAGTATAGTAAACGCTCGTGCTCGGTTCTAAGTAAGTCGTGTCGTCGGATCCGACGGTATCGTCGTGATTCACGGGTTTCGATGGGAGAATCTCGGGGAAGTCGGGTCTGGACAAGGACAGGTAGAGATCGTCGGCCAGCCCTGCCTCGATTTCCTCGGGCGTCGGCGACGTGATTGACGTCGTCAATGTCGCCGAAGTGCCAGGCGACGGCGTGTAATCGACTCCCAGAGGAATCACGCTGGGGATCTCGGATTCGTCGAGGTAGCTCGGAGTAATGGTGTCTTGGGACGTATCCAGAGGCAGGACGCTCGCGAAACTGGGAGATAATTCGACAGAAGGTGAACTGGACTCGGTAACCGATTGTATCGGTTGCACCGTTTGTATATCTTCCTTCTCTTCGGATTTAAGTATTGTTGTCGAGGTTTCTTTCAGAGTTGTGGAGCTTACGATGTCTGGGAAGGATCTTCCGGTTTCTAATTTCGTGCTTAACGTCGTCTCAGTGTCTTCTATGCGCGACGATTCTGTTTCTACTTTCGTCGTTTGAGTTTCGATGTCTATTTGAGGTTGAATATCTTCACTCTTTTCTGGTGATAATTCCTCAGTTTCAGTTTTTTCAAGGGAATCTTCAGTTGAAGTGATGGTAGGATGGTAGTGTTCTTCATCCTCATTTCTAATTGTCGTGTCCTCAATTTCAGGTTCAGTAGACGATACGGGGTATTCGTTTTCTTTTTCCGAATTTGTCGTTGCTGTATCAAAATGAGTTGTTGTCTCTATCTTCTCTTCAGTGCTAGTTGACGTTGTTTTATCGACCGACTCGGTAGTTTGCATAAATTGGATTGTCGTTACATGTTTCTCGTCTTCTCCTTCTTCTTCTGCTTCCTTTTCTTCTTCTTCTTCTTCAAATGATTCTTCTTCTTTTTTCTCAGGAGGTTTCGTCGTTAAAGTGTCTTCTTCTTCTTCTTCAGAGAATTCTTGAGTCGTGGTAGGAACTGCTTCGTCCTTTGGCTTCACGGTTGTAAGAATCTCTTCAGATTTATCTTCTGATTCTGTCGTCGTCTGATGTTCAATAACTGCTTCCGTCGTTGCTTGATGTTCAGCAACCGATTCTGTCGTCAGATGTTCAACCACAGACTCCGTCGTCGCCTGATGTTCAGCAACAGACTCCGTTGTTGCCGGATGTTCAGCAACGGACTCCGTCGTCGCCTGATGTTCAGCAACAGTCTCCGTCGTTGTCTGCAAATCGTTCTGCTGTTCCACCGTCGTTTCCTCCTTTTCAGGAGCTGCAGACGTGTTCGAAGCGTCAGAAACGTCTTCTGTTTTAGGGATTTCTTTCATGGTCGTCGTTTCCACGTAATCGTCTTCGTATTCATATTCATCGTTGCTCGGCGGGAAGAAGAAGTTGTCGGTAATAATGACAGGAGTGCTCGCAGTGCTCTCCTCTATCACCTTCGATCCAGTCTCCTCCATGATGCTCTCGTTCTCATCAGGCTTGCTGTCGATCACATTCGGTGGTTCATTCAATTCCGGCGTGACCGTCGAGCTGATTTCCTCTCTGCTCGGCGTTTCGTCTTCCACTTCTTCGGAATATTCATCGTTAGCTGGTGCGGTAAAGAAGCCTGTGGTGATGATGGCGAAACTGGGTGTCGGTTGCACCGGTCTAACAGCGATCAACTTCTTCCTAGTGATTCTCGCCCTCTTCTCGCTAGATGTAGGAGTCGATTCTATCTTCCTACGTCTAGTGATAGTCACTTTGTGTCTACCTTGTACTTCAGGTTTCACGGTGTCTAATTCCGAGTCAGGGTGAATGGTATTAGCCAGACCGAGTGGTCTGACTCGCGTCACGACGATTCTCCTGGGCGTATGACTGGTTGCGGTCAATGGCTCCTCGGTTCTGGATGAAATCGGTCTGCGTCTGACCACCGTCAGCTTATGCTGTCTCCCATTCTTTCTGACAACGGGCACGCGGATTCTAACGCGTTTCCTAGGCGTATCCTCGACGTAGTCGTCGTCGATTTCGGCTAGACGCCTGGCGACGTTCTCTGCGTCGGTCGCGCGTTGTCTAGCGACGGGGTCGCTGGTCGTCAGTCGGTATAGGTCGTCGGGGTAGTAGTAGTCATCTGAAAAGGCGACCAGGTTCTCTCGCTTTTGTGCACGCGTTCCAAACGTGCGAGTTAAGGCGTGAGACACGAGTGTTACGCGCGAGTTCCAAAGGGTTATACGATAATCGTCCCACCCTTTCGTGCACTTTTATTACATTGTCGACCTGTCCGTCGATAGAAACCAGGGGTACACCATTTTGCCATGCGGTTCAGTGGATTTGGTCGCGTGTGGGCGCGTGTGCGGCGGCGGGTTCCAGGCTGTGTTAGTCATAGGAGGAAGGGAAGAAACCAGAGTGGGGACAGAAATAGAAAGAGATCGGGAAAGAGCGAATAGGACGTGAAATGAGAGCGACTTCTCGATCGACCGAAGCTGTTTTGTCACGGTTCGAAAGAAAATCGAATTTCATCTATGGTACATACAATGCCAGCGTTGACGGCGATATCTCGCCGAGTTTCGCAGAAAAACGTACGAATTGTCGCCGGTTGAAAGGTCGTCAGCTTCGGTCTAGGTGGGCTTTTTACGATGGACTTAAACTACGGGTTAATGGAATGACAGTAGTTAGGCGTGGAAATGAACGGGGATCGTTTAGGTGTGGATGGACGTGGAAATGTGCCGTCCGACGTCACCCACTACGCTCTCGAGACTCTGTGTCGGCGCGTGCGCGTCCGTCGAGTCCTCGCTTCCGGTAAGAATCGTGACCTCCCCCGGTCCCGCGTGCAGCGACGCCGGGATCGACGGTTGCACCTCCACCTGATCCTCCCCTCGCGCGTCCCTTCGCCGCCTTGACGAGGCGGCCACGTCGCCGACCTTCACTGTACTCAAAACAGTGCTGAACTCCCCTGGCCTCCGGCCGGACACGTACAACGTGACCACGCTCGACTCCTCCTTCGCCGAATTCTCTTCCCTCTTCTCGTTGTTCGATTTATTTTTCGACTTCGACGGCTTCTTGTACTCCTGAACGTCGTCCTGTTCCTCGTACTCGTAACCATCGCGTCTGTAATCCGAATCAGCCGGCTGATGCCTCGTCTCTACTTCGCCAGGCAGGGTGTTACTCTGAGTGAACGGGGGAGCAGCGAACAACGGGTCCAGCAACGGGTTCCCGTTCTTCGGTGGTTGCTGAAGCAACAGCAGTAAGGAGTTCAAGTTCGCCGCGGGCAACGCTGCCGTCGGCGTGACCACGACCGTGTCTGTAATGAACTCCGTGGCTGTGACAACATTCGTCGACGTATCCACTAAAGTAGTCAGTATCTCTTTACCCCGGAACGTCAACGGGATCACGGTACTCTGCTGTTTGGTGATCGTAGTCACGTACGACGTCGTACGCGTGTTGTACTGCGTCGAAGGGGTGCCCTGCGATTGTAGTAAGGGATTTGCCTGACCTAACTGACCGAGGAGCAGCTGCGAGAGGAGGATGTTAGCGAGGGGCGCGTTTCCTGCCAAACTCGGTTGTATCGTCGAGACTACGTTCTCTACGGAGTAGACAGTGGTCGGTACGATCACGGATTGGGACGCTCTACGACCGCCGAGGGTTGTTAACGTATGCGAGACTCGGGTGGTGGGCGTCTCGTGGAGGAGGAATCGGGTTACCTCGGTCTGACCTTGAGCATTGGTGCCAGTCACCTCGCTAACGATTACTACCAACGGCCTGCCGTCGCCGCCTGTTACCGTACTGTATTGGGACGGGCTTAGAACCTCGGTACTCGCTTGGGCGGTTACAATATTCCGGTGCTCCGTCACGCCGTTGTTTACTACAGGGATCGTCACCTCCGTAGGCACGTAATGCGTCACCGTAATCGTTCCATCGAAATCTGGATGGATGGTCGGTGCTTCTCTAATGTCGCCTAAAGAACCTCTGGTTCTACTGGAGGTTCTCCTACTGCCGTTCCTACTGGAAGTCCTCGAAGAAGACCGAGACGGAGGCACGCGTCTCGAGCTCGTCGATTCCGTAGATTTGTTCGATCCAGATCGAAGTCGCAATGGTCGCACGCGTTCCGAATTGCTCGTGGATCGACCGTTAGACCTAGACGTCGTCGAACTTGGCCTCTTGTAGTTAGATCTACTGGAAGAGCTCCCGTCTTTCTCTCTCAGAGTGAACTGTCTACCATTATTGGAAGTCGGCGTTGGTTTTATCCTAGGAGGAGAAGAACTCCTGTCTTCGTTGCTACTCTGTTTCCTGTTCCGAACTTTGTTCTGCCCTACGTCCGTCGACTCCGCCGACGTCTTCTCGGGATTGTTAGACTTCGTCGGCGGTCGAGTCGACGGCAACGATCGTGCACGGTTGTTGTACCGAGCGATGGGTTTGGAATTACTTTTCAAAGTTTCCTCTTTGCTAGCGACTTCCTCAGGCGCGTCGGACTTGTCCTCGGCTTTGGATGAACCCTGACCGGGACGACGGAATCGATTGGTCAACGATCTCAACTGACTCGCCTGTCTACGCGTTCTTCTCGACCTACTGAACGGCCTAATCTGTACTGGTGATTTGATAGATTTACCCGAACGACGATTCGTCGTTCTATCTTCATGCTCGGAGCCTTCGTAATCGTTATCTGCTATCTCATCTACTGCTTCGTCTTCTAAATGCTCCTCACCTTCCCCTTCCAGATTTTCCTTTGCTTCTATCTGTTCCTCGGTCGTCGTTTCCTGCTTCTTACCGAATAATCCTCTGGGTGGGAACAATCCCGCGCCAGCCTGCCTTGACCTAGACGATATCGGTGTATTCGTTCTGGCAGTGGTTCTTACACTGGTAGATCTGGGAACAGTGGACGGCGTCGATCTATTCAGATTTGCGTTCCTCCTAGAAGTCGTCGGTGGCCTCGGAGTCGTTCCAGTCCTTCCAGAATTATTCAAGTTTATCGGCCTACGGAATCTTAACAATGGATTCGTAGATCTCCTCGAGGACTCGGTCGTCGTCTGCAGAGGCGTCGTCACCGTCTCCCCGCCGTCCGCATCCTCCGTATAAGGCGTTTCCTCCGTTACTAAAGTGGTCGTGGTAAATTCATTAGCATCATTCTCCTGATCGTCGTGCTTGGCCGTCGCCTGACTCTTCGGCAAAGTGGACGACGGTCTGATCGGTGGCCTGTATCTAGTCGTTGCTCCGAGATAAACGGAACTTGACGCACGGGACGCGATTCTCGCGGAGGAGCCTCGAATCGACGTTGGCCCGCGCCTGTTTCCTTGGAACACCGACGACGGTGTTACTCTAGGCTGAGCTCTGCCTCGGGTGCTTCCCGTCACCGTCGACGACGACGAACTAGCCGTATTCGGCGATCCTCTTCTCCCGGAGAATCTCCTAGAACCTGACGGGGACAACGTCGAGGAGTAAGGACCTATCGGCGAGCTGATGCGACCCCTCGAAGATGCGAACCTGTTGCCCTTCCCTGCCAAAGTTGCCGTTATCGTTGGAGTTATGTCCGTCCTCGTAATAGTCGTCGCACCCTGCGCACCCTTTCGTTTCGGATTGAACGTAGGTCTGTTCCGCGAAGCGAACGGCCTGATCACTGGAGTGAAGGTCCTCTTCCTGGTAGAGAACGTTAATCTGGATTTCTTTTTAGAAATCTGTCCATCTTCTTCTTCTTCATCCTCCTCGTCGCTCTCTTCGTTCTGTTCCGAATCCTCCTCCTGATCGGGGGATTCCGTCGTAGGATCCTCTGACAACGAGGATTGTATCACCGCTGGCGAAGGCGAGATTTCTGGGATTTCAGTCGGCTTCGTGGGCGGCAGAGTCGACGTAGGAGCGATACCGATCGTAGGAGTTGAAGACAGGAAGCTGGAGGTGCTCTCTATGATCTGAGCATATCTACCTTCGATGTTCGTACCGATCACTTTCGACTGGTAGAACGTCGTCGTGCCGTTATTCTCTATCTGACCTTGGATCAGCCTCACCAGGCCAGTCCTGTGACCATGAATTGGTGGTATCGTCGATTTCCTCTCTTCGTCGATCTTAGTGCTCGAGGTACTCTCGATAACTTTTGCGTACAGGCCGTCGAACAGTGTTCCGATCTGTTTAGTAGTGAAATAGATAGTCGTGACTTCGTCCGCGTCTATGACGCTGCCTTTGTTCATCGACAGGACTCCTGTTGGTAACACCGGGGTGGCGACGGACGACGGGAGCGTCGGCGTTTCGAGTCTAGTCGAACTCTCCACGACCTGAGCGTACAATCCGTCGATGTAAGTTCCGTGAACGTCGGTCATGTAATGAGTAGTGGTGCCGTCGTTAACTTTGCTGGATCTTATCGTCGAGATTAGACCAATTTTAGGGATTTCGCTAGTTTTCGACGGCGTCACTGGTTTATCCTCAGTTGCCAAAGCTTGTTTGAAGACTGGGCCGTCTATCGCTCGTCCAGTCGCCAATTGGCGAGTCGCGAGGATGTCGGGAACGGAGACACTGGTGACTGTTTCTAATCTGCTGTTTAAAATCGTCTCGTTGCCAACGTAGGACGTCGTGAAGTAAGTGTAAGTAGTATAATATGTGGTAGGCTCCGGCAGAACAGTAGTCGACTCCGTAGGCGCCGTAGTAATTTCCTTGGAACTCGGGATAATATCCAGTTGCTCAGTTTTCTTCGAATTCTCCAGTGGAACTACATCCGAAGGCGTTACTTCGTTATCAGCAATGATCTTGGACTGTTTATCGCTATTGAAATTCTCCTCTCCTTCTGAAACCGTCGGTCTGTATGTCATGATCACGCCTAGCTCTACAGTAGGCGTGGGCGTCACTCCCGGTGTCACAATATTGCTGACCGTTTCCTCTCGACTGGTAGTGACGGTATCTCCACCCTTGTAAAAAGTCGTCCAATATGTAAAGGTAGTGAAATAGGTCACTGGTAGTGTACTCGTTTCCGGTAGGACCACGACGGCTGTTGGTCGAATCGTTTCCGTCACGACGTTGGTAACCGTTTCCAAACGGCTGGCCACATTCGACTCGTCGCCCTTGTACATCGTCGTGAAATATGTAAAAGTGGTGTAACTAGTCTGAAGCAGAAGAGTCGGCGCTGGTTCGACGTCGTGATGATTGGATTCAGACAATTCCTGGTCTTCCGGTACGGCGTTCCGTTTGTCCATCACGTCTAATACCGTGCCGCCCCCGGAACTGGAAGAGGACACCACGTCGGTGACCATCGATCCCAGAACTTCGCCCTCGACCGGAGGATTCGGAGTCACTTGAGCGTTCACTTCGAAACCGCGAAACACGTTTTGAGTAGTCGGCTGATCAGCCATAGTGCTCGGTTGCTCCGTCGTAGATTCTGTCTCCTCGTTTTCATTAGACGAATGTTGCTGTACTTTCTTTGCTAAAAGAATCGCTTCTTCTTGAGATTTCTGTCTCTGAATTGCTTCCAAGTACGCTAGGATCTCTGGAGGTACAGCTGGCTTGTCAGTTTCACTCTTTGGCGTGGTTGGTTTCTGAGTTTCCTGTACAACTGGAATCACAGCGGTCGGTTGTATAGTTTCGGTGACGACGTTGGTGAACACTTCGGTCCGCGTTTCGATCTCCGTCTCGTCTTCGACGAAGATAGTCGTGAAATAAGTATACGTCGTGTAATACGTCTTGATCTGCTCCTTCACCTGTTGGGTGGCTACAGTTGGCGTGGGACTCGGCTCGATCTCAGGTGTCGTCTGCTTCTCCTCGAACTCCTTAATTCCCGCCTCCGTAGGAATATTCTGATCAGTGGTCATGTCCTGTTCTTCCAAAGTCGTGAGTGTATCCTCTGTAGTCTGTTCCACGGTCGTCGGATAATTTTCAGTCCCCTCTTCAGTTTTCGCCGGTGTAACAGAAGGCGAAACGCTGTCTAAAATTCTCGTAGGAGATATCGTTGCCTCGTCTGTCTCGAACAATCCCGCGACCACCGCGGATACTCCGTTAGGTCCGACGGTCTGAGTGATTACGTTCGTCTCGACGACTTCTCGACTCGAAATGCTGGAGGTGCTCTCTTGGAAGAACGTAGTCAAATACGTGTACGTCGTGTACAGAGTTTTGAAGATCAATTCTATTTCCTCGTCCTGTTTAGTAGTCTGTTCCTCCTCCGTTATCAAACTGGGAGTTCCCGTCGTGGACCCGGTCAAAGCAGTAGGTGCAATCGAGGACGAAGTCTCACTCGGAAGGATCAATTCCGTTAAATAAGTAACTTCCGACGAGACGACTTCCCTGGATTTTACAGAGGTTGTGGTTTGTTCTCCGTCAGGTATGAAGAAAGTAGTGAAGTACGTGAACGTTTTGAACACCGTGGAAGGAAGTAACCTGGTAGCTAGAGTCACTTTCTCCTCCTGTCCCTTTTGAGCCCGATGCCCTAATTCGTTCTTAGAACCACTTCCCTTAATACTTCGACCTTGATGATCACCAGGCACGATGTCATTCGGAATTTCATCGTCCAACGAAGGAGCAGCTGACTCTGTCGTACCGAGGACTCTCCTGGCGCTCTCTAAAATGTCCTTTAACGTCGTTAAGACGCTGTCAGTCGTACCCTTCAACGGAGTCATCAATTCGTTTGTCTCTGGAGGAGCTTCTTCACTGGAAACGATTATCCTCGGCGTGGTACCCGTCGTCATTTCAACTGTAGTATCCTGCTCGGTCTCAGATTCCTCTGTAACGGTGCTTCCATAATCGACGGTGGTGTCTTCGGTATCGTAACTCGCCGTAGCTTCGTCGGGGAAGAAATAAACGTTGGAAGAGGTGTGAATGATCTGGGCATAATTCGTGCCGATATAAGTGCCGTAGATTAAACTCTTGTAATGAGTAGTGGTGCCGTCGAGAGATGTAGTCGAGTCGAGGACTTTCAAGAGTCCCGTGGGTTTCAACGATCCGGTTTCGAGGTCAGGGACTAACAAAAGAGGCTCTGTAGACGTGGTCGAAGCATCGACTTCGAAATCCTCTGTAACGCTCGGTTGAATATTCGCCCTGTTAATAGCGTCCAACAGAGGATCTCCCGTCTCGCTGCGAGGATCTGATTTCCGGGGATGCTGGATCGTCTTCTCTTGACCCGCGACCACGCTGGTAGGCCTGATTTTAACCACGGCGATCCCTTCGTCGGGTCTGAGCGTCGCGTCGCCTTTAATAGTCGTCGCTGGGCGTCCGACAGGCGCCGGAGAGGTGCTCGGCGAGAAAACGATCACCGTTTCACCAACAGTAGTAGTGAACTCGGCGAAGCCGTGGTACGTCACCGTAGCCAATGGCTTGATATCTAATTTCTTCTGCGTCGCTGTTTTTGCTTGAGGTTTGAATATCTTAGGTAATCTGGGCCTGAAATTCTTCGGCTGTTCTTCGTCCGGATTATCGAAAGTACTCGTGACGTACTCATGTTTGACGGTATAAGTAGGCAAATTTTCTGCCGTCCTCACTTTGGCTGGTTTAAACCTCTGCGAATCCGCGCCCGTTTCCCTCCTACTAAATATGTCGTTCTCTTTGGACAGTTCGTCGAATCTCGTCGTGGATTTCTCGCTCTCGTTGGAGTCTTTCTCCTGGCTCGATTCTTGCCCGATATCCTTCAGCTCTTTTATAGGCCCGTTATCCAACGCGACTTTCAACTGCCAATCGTCGTTGGGCGTTCTCGACGGATAGACCACGTAAGGGGTGGCTGAATTCGGGCTGGACTCCTTGTCGTAGAACACTCTACTAGACGTTGCTAGGATTCTGGCGTACAACCGGCCGTTATCCAACGTGGTGCCGAGTACCTGGGTGGCGAACTCGGTGCTCGCACCATCTTGGACGAAAGTTCGCGCGGTTTTCGTTAAGAGGCCGACCGGCGGTACGGATTTACCGGGCCTAGCCGAGACTAGGAGCACCGTGGTCACGCCTGGGGATCGATTACCGAGCATGGAACGAATCGGGAGGTGAGTTCAGAACCGAGGACGATCGCCGCACGATTTGTCATAAAATTATCCAGTCACGATAATATTATAATAATAATAATAATAATAATAATAATAATAATAATAATAATAATAATAATAATAATAATCCAGTCGTATAATAAGAGCGTCCAGTCGAGTGGTTAGAATTCGTCCGAGTCATCAGTCGTACAGTGTCAGCCAATGGAGTAGACATATAGAATTTTGTTTTTAGATAATGTAGGTCGTCGGAGAGACGGAGTGTCGGGCGGACGTTGGAGGCAGACGGCATCCAGTTGTTGAGAAGAGTAGTTGAAGGCGAGGAGCAGGCGGGAGCAGTAACAGAAACAGAAAAAAAGAGACAGACGATCTTAGTGGACCGATCATCCTGTAGTCGGTATAAATAGCCTACGGAGAGGACCTGCTACCTTTCTTATTACTTCTCGTTTTAATTTTATGCCCACGAGTATCGATTTCCGTTCGTCGCACGTTCACGGGCTATATATGTTATTTCTATGTGTTCCGTTCCATGCTAACGGAAATTGGGACCAGTATCTGGCCGGAGAGGTCTTTCGCCTCTGTCCGTGAACCGCGCGCCAGGAAACGACAGCATAAGTGCACAAACGTTAAAACAAAAATCGACCGAGTACTGTACGTGTAATGTTTATATAATATATGGTATGTATGTACACGGCTCGAGGGACCTGAGAACTCGTTCTGTAGGATCGTTCCGTTGTGCTCGGGCCACAATAGACTGACGTTTCTAATTCCGGCTCGATATATGCACATAAGACACGCATAAGCTCCGTGCGAACCGTGAAATAATTCATTTCACGTTTCCGGCTAGTGAAAGTACTTACGCCGTTTTCGTTCCGCGAATTTCTATTCTTATTTCGCGAGACTCTTTCGTTTGATTTGTCAAGTCCCCCGGAACAACGCTTCGACGATTCCTTTAAAGATCTTTAAGGCCGTATGAGCCCTTATATAAAATTTAACAGTTATTAGATACTAGCATCCCCCAACGTCAGTTGGATATTATCCTAAACGATTGCAAGTCAGGCACAATTCTATCAATAGCCACGTATTAGAATATTAGAAATTAAAAAGTTCCCATGAATTAAAAAAATACATCGAGCAATTTTATAAACCTCATTTTATCTGTAAATAAAATTTTTCCTAAAAATTCATCACTTCAAATATCGAACATTTTTGTTCCATTTCTCGAGATTTTACGGCTCATACGACCTTTAAACCATTTATAGTCACACGGAAACGGAACGTAAAGTAAAAGTAATACGCAAGAAAGGAAAGAAAAAAAAAAAATATATAAAAGTAGACGAGATAGAAAGAGGCATGTACATATGTATACGTATGAATACATTGAAACAGTAATTTCTTGATTATGTACACGGCCGCACCTCGCGTCGACACGCACACTGCACAGGTGTTTTAGAGACAGAACGAACGGTTTTAAACTGTGAGAAGAGAAAGGCCAGCGGAGATGAGGTAGAGAGAGAAAGAAAGAAAGAGAGAGAGAGAGAGATACCATATATAGGAAAGCGAAAGAGAGAATCGTATGTTTGCCGATAAAATTACGCTCGTACTGACAATCGGCACATACTCATTGCGAATAATGGGGAACGCGGCTAATGAAATGTATCCGTTCCAGGTTATACGAAAGAGGTTGCCAGTTCGAGCATAATTCTATTAAGAAAATAATAATTGGATGCAAAACACGCTAGGATAGCTTCGGGCTCACCTTGCAGGTCCCTTTCTGCTCTCGGTGCCCTGATTTCTGTCTCATCACCTGCAAAATGGAAAATAGAAATGCTACATTAATTGCTTTCTGCAAATTCTTGATTGAAAGATTGATATATTATTTTACTGAAGTTCATAAATATTAGGGAGCACATTCCAAACTTGATTAACTTTCTTAATATTGAATGATCAATTTTTATGAAATCCCACAGAAAATTAAGTCCAACTGTAAAAAATTCATTTCTAAAAAAGATTATTCAATTCTGAAATGCGTACAAACATTTATGAACTTCACCCTACACCTTTTTATCAATCCGCTGACGTGTCTGATGAAGGAGAATTATTTCTTGACACTTTAACGACAGTGACATTTCCTAACGCATTAGCAAAGTTTTTTTTTCACCGACGATCGATCGAAACGAACGAAAGGCTTAACAGTTCTGTTTTTTGTTGAAAAACTTCATACGTTTGACGATCTGGTCAAGGACGCCTAATGGCACCTCCGGGAAAGGAAACGGTGGGTGGTGAAGGGAAGAGAGTTCGCGAAGGATGCTGCGCTGCATTTGGTTTTCGCGCGATTTCATTCGGCGATTACGTAACGAGAAGCAGTTATTACGTATGGTAACTCATAGTTTCCACTTCAGAATTAAAAATCCGATTATTTTTTAAAATAAGTCATGACTTGACTACATGTCATATGCAATAATCATGAGTTATCGACGAGGCACTGTTCCATTTTCTCAACAACGGCAAAATGTATTGAGGCCTCGAATTCCACGGTGCCAATGGAGTAAGTAAACCAGCGAACAAAGGCTAGACGACGATCGTGCGGGGAAGCGCGTCGAGTAAGTTGCACGTATGTATGTACGTATGGGAATGAGAGAAGAAGAGGTCTCAGGCTGCGATGCTGAAGATGTCGTCCAGAGACCGGAGAGACGTATACAGTTATCTGACCGACTCCTTTCTTCGTCTTCCCTCTCCTGATTTATACCACGTGCTCAACCGCGAAATCTTTCAATTCTCGCACGTAAGTAATAATATACACTCTATCATCAAGTATGTTCATTAACATTAAATCTACTAACAGTTTCTGCACACTAATCTTACGATTATATAAACAGACAGTGTTTGTACCTTAGCAAATGTCTGAAAAATTTTCTTTTTATTTTTTATAGGAAAATGTAAAAATGATTATTTTTGTTCAATTAACATATAAATAAAAAAAAGAGTCTACCCTAATCTAAGTGAACCAGAAAAGAATCCAGTCTATTTTTTCTCTGATCGTGAGATCGGATGAACCAGTATGATTAGAACGCCATACCAAACGAGTGGATTCTATGTAAGTCTAATTGCCACACTCGATTTGTCGAGTTCACCGATTTCGCGGAATTTCGTCCGCCTTGAATGGCCGTCGCCGCGATCTGGCCTGCCCCATTGCCTGCCTCACTCGTCTCATCGCTGTTGCCCGTTAGCTTTCAGCGCAATTACAGAGAATCACTGTTACGTCACGTCTTGGCAAATGGAATTGGTACAACAATTTTTATCTACCAATCTATTATGATTAGACAGCAGATTTCAGCGAAACAGAACGTGTAAAAATTATTAATGCTGATGTATTATACAGAACTATGCAGAATATCGAAAGCTGGATGCATATTTTAATGATACATTAAATAATGTTTCATTTAATAAACACCCTCTGTCTAGTTGTGACACAATATCTGTAATCTGTAGCGAATTCGCGAGGACAGTCGGTCAAAAGTTGACAGCGGGGAACATGACATCCGGTTCCTTTTTTTTCCGTTCGATCGGACCGGTGGCCAGTTCTCGGTAGACCGATCGAGATCGACGCACTCGCATGGTTCGAGGTCATTCTCCAGCGTCCAGGTGCATTGGGTCAGCTGGTCGACTTCGCGTCGTCGCCGCCGCGTCGCCCTTCTTTCCTCGCGAGTCTGGCTGGAGGCCAACGGGTCCCGGGTTTCGCTGCTAAGGGGGCCAGACTGTCGCTGAATGATCGACAACAATGCTAATTCGACGTTCGTTCTTTCACAAAGAAACTAATACAAGAAAGTTCTAATTCCGTGTGCTAAAAATTATTCAAAATTGCAATCATGTAATTTCATTTTGCAACTGATTATAAATAAAAGTTAAAAATATTGGATCTCATAAAGCCTTTAATATTTGCCAATCTGCGTATAATTGTAAATTGCGCGGAAAATTGCTAGTGAAATTAATGAAGAGTAACGGAGCCACCAGGCACGTTCCCAAGCACGCGCGGTTGCATACGCGTTACCTTGAGCTCCTTTTCCCCGAAGCTAGGAGAGTAAATACACCCCCGGGCATTCCTCCAGCTCTCGCAAGAATTCGTTCATTCACAATTCAGGTTTGAACGTTGCGACAGGATCGCCTCGCCGGTGAATAATAAACGAGAGAGCAATGGCGAAGGGACCTTAATGGATCTCCCTAGAAAGAGGCCCGATGTGTTCCGAGTGAACGCTTCACCAGGTGCCTTTCGAGATCGAAAGAAAAAGCGAAATTGGAGCGTGCAAATTAAGATCGAGATATTTTCGACGAACCCGTTATGCTCAGACTCATTAGCCTTGATGGAAATACTTAATATTTGGAGAGAACATGCTTGAGTTCCGAGAGAAATTGTTTATGAGACTATAGAAATTTAATAGTAAATTCTAATTACGAAATGAAATAGCTATTTCGAATTTAAGACCAGGACTTTCCTTCTTTTGCAAAAATATTATTTAATAAAATATTTTCCAAGAACAATTTATATAATACGACTGACTATTATGCCATTGAATTTATTTATTTTGTAGTAATCTGTATCCTCTCAGATATGATGATTTCCAGTCATTTGTTTCGTAGAGAATTAATTTTAGGAATACGCAAGATAATCTGAAATCTGGAGACGAGATCAGAATAAATGGGGGCTTGTCTACTTCTATTTTAATCCAACTCGGCATTCATATACATGATCTGAATCTGATTTCGTACGAATTTTAAGGAACCAGACAGCGTTGAACGTGACTGCACGCTTTCAAAGTCGCCGACACGCTAACCCTGATAGAAATCTGTCGCAAGTTTTGAACGATCTCTGAACTACATAGCTTTGTTTAAAAATTCGTGATATCGCCTGCCGGTGTTTTACAATTTTTAGTTTCTATATATAGTGTAGAAAGCTTAATTCGTTCCACTCGTGCGTGATATAACACTGCAAGTAGCTGTAATAATAATTTAAGCGTTAAGTCTTAAGTTTTTCAGCGTTTGACGTATGAAAGATAAGCCAGTTCTGTTGCATAATCTTAGAACTAGACTTATACATGAAATCTTTCATCGGTCTTTTTGGTAGAGCTAGAAGGAAATTGCATAGGACCTTTCTTGTATTGGGTAATTGGAGCTACAACTTTTGTCTGAAACATCTCTCGCTTGGATTAAGAAAACGTTTTTGCAATAGAAAAACGAAAAAACAGTTTTTTGCAAATTACTCGTAAACTATTGACGCTAGCAGGAAAATTTTATACAGAAATTATAGATCTCGTTGTCCTCTACAAAAAAGGTCTGATGCAATTTTCTCGTATCTCCAACGGTTTGGGAGTTATTAGCAAAAAACGAAAATTTTGCATAATCTGAAGGGGTACCCCTTGGAAAAATCTCGAAAAAATGAAAAATTTTTTTTTGGTCAAAATTTCGAAAAATGCTTTAAATAAAAGTTGTAGGTACTCCTATTATCTGCAAAAAAGATTGTATAAAATTTCTTTCTGTCTCGGATACTTCAGGACTAGTCGATTAATTATTTTATTCAGCATCGGCGAGTGTTTTTATTTCTTAATTCGGTGGCAATATATTCTAAAAGTCAAAATCAATAAAAAAATTGTATCACAAGATGAGGGATGAACGCAATTGTTTTGCATGGTTAAGCAAAGAACGTGAAGCGTCGTACGACAAGTGCAGGGGGCAAGTTCGACGGAGAAAGTATTCGATCGTGGGAACCGGTAACAGTGCTATTGAATCGTACACAGGACGTTGATTTTTGTCAGAATCATGACTGTATCGACTCTAGTATTCTTCTAATTTAAGAAACAAGTCCACCGCAATTGAATACAGCGTTAAGCAACTCCTTCCCGAATAGAAGTTACCGCAGGCGAATATCCAGAGAGATTTATCGGCCATTTATAAAGTAATCCGTGCAACGAGTCGAATACCCGCGCGTTGACGTTCCTGTAAACGTGCCGCAATTGCACGTATTCATAGTTCGAAACCCGTAATAATGCTTTTACCGTGTATGTAATCGGTGTAGTAATCGTGGCAATGATTCATTGCCATATTCGAAAGCAATCTTAATTCCAATCCGTAGTGATCTATGTTGCTGGAATAAATGATGAATTCTGTTTAGCATACTGGTAAAAGGTTCACGAGATTCGTATTAATCTCTGCAGGTTTAGTTTATTTAAAATTAAAATTATTTCAAATGCAACAAACAGGCGACTCGTAATAAGAAAAATAATTAAATATATTTTTCAAAAATTCTGTTTGATTTTTTTTATTCTTGCTGGTAAAAATACAAAAGAGAGGTGATTCTGTACAATAAATTCCTTTGGCAAAATGTAAAGTGAGGCTTGGTTTTTGAATTATCAATAAGAGCACGTGTAGGGTCCGCGCTCAGCTACGGCCGAGCTTCACGATCCGAGCTAATCTACCCGTGGCTGAGCGCAAGCTTTATACGTGCTTTCACTAGTATTTTTCGTTAATCGTTAATCTAATTAATCTTAATTAGTATTAATCGTTAATATAATTCGTTAATCCTCACTTTGCACTTTGCATTTTGCCAAAGGAAATTATTACTCAGAAACACCTATAGAATCACCCCTTTTCGGTTCTAACACTTTTTCTGGGACACCCTGTATAAGACGACGACTTTGCCTCGTTCGTTAAATGACATTGACGAGAAAATTGTTGGTAAAAAGTAGAAGGGTTAAAGAACGAATGAAATGCTGTGTAGGAGGGAAAAGATAAGTATGCGCGCTTCTCGTTTGTCAAGTGACATTTCCGTCGATCGACGAAACCAACCAGCCGGCTGATATGATAATTCTGAAAGTCGTCTGGCTGCAGATTGGAAAACGGATACAAGGATCCAGAGGGGAGAACGACCCTGGCGAGGCTCGGCGCGCTGTCACGTTTCGCTCGACCTTAAAGAACGACAGTGCCTCTCGGTCCGGTGCAAAAGCTCGTTACCGAACAACAATGAAAGTCTGCACGCACGCACGCACGCACGCACGCACGCGAATCGAGTGGAAACTGGCGCGTTTCCTCGATTACAGTACGTTCCGCGATTCACACAGCGAAACTAGTGCCCCGCGACTCTTCCGTGGAAAACGAGCATCGTCTTCCTGGTTTCGTCGTTGTAAATTGGAGAAAGGCACCAGGAAACCGTGCGCGCTTAAGGACAACCGGCAATTTTATTGGCGCGCTATCTGCTGTTCCATGTTCCAAGGTGAAAGAAAAATTCTCGCCGATTGCTTCGGTTAATTCGACACGAGCCATTTTATTATATGATCAGACAATTATTTCCCACGAATAATCGCGCGGCGTCTATACGTGCTTTCACTTTCCTTTTTCCAGTGACGGTTACTTTTACGTAACAGACATTTTCTTTTATGCTATTAACGAACCTAGATTAATTGTTCCACTTTGTCAACGGGTGTCGCAAGTCTTTGTTAATTGAATAGGATTCCTCGTGTAATTTTTCTTTTTAAACACCTGAGAACCACGGGGGAGGAAAGGAGTCTGACTCGCGCGGAGCATGACCACTGCCACGTGACCGGTCGGACGCACGTGACCGACAGCGTGTCAGATAGTCAGGCGAACGAACAGACAGCCAGATACCTAGGCCATGTAACGACCGCTTCTTGCATCTCTTCGATTCGAGCCGCGATTTGCGTCACGATTTATCGTTGACCTAAATGCAGGTACACGCGTATGGTACCTTGTAGGTAGTTTACTTATTATTGGGTCAGTGAGGTAGACACGATTCCGCGATATGTTTAATTAATTTCTAGATAGGCTTATTCAATGTTTTAGTGTTTGACAGGTAGAGGAGGAACATTATTGGAGCCAGGCAGGATTTCATGTAAATAAAAGTTTGATTAAATTGAAACAGAAGGAAGATTTATTAATAAATTTGTACAAACTATAAAGTTCTACAAATGAGGAAATATTTTAATCCTTTTGCTGGTATGTTCCATTAAATAAATGAAAGAAATTAATATTTTCTATTGATTAATCGAAGAAAATACTAAATATTTGATGAATCGGTGTCAGAAGCGTCGAATAGACAGAGTATCACGCGAGACCTAAACTCTGCATCTTGTGTTACACGAATAGCGTGTACAGCGTTCGCCGTTTCCGTTCTGCATTCGAATTCCACGATAACGTTAGATCGTTTCGCGAGCTTCCGCTCGTTGGTTCGATTCCGTAACGTTGTCGACACCGGACCACCCGTGATCCGTTTCGTACAATTTCCGCCGTTTTCACCTTCGTTCGTTACAATTGCCCAGATTTCCCAACGACGAGTGAAGAAACAGGATCAACATCGACGTCGATATCAATGATCGCGTCTGTGTTTAATTCAAATCAATTCGTATCTGATTTTAATTAAATGAAATCATTAGAAGGGAAAGTTTCTAAAGTTTGAAAAATGTAATTAAAATGTGAAACGATATTAACTTCTTTCTCTCTTAGACAATTGTAGGAAAGTTCATTGCTTCAAATATCGCACACAGTTTTTCGTCACATTTCTTAAACTTTTGGTAGAGATTGGCTATGCAATCTTAAGCACTGCTTGGGAGTTAAACCGAGCAAAGATGGAGAACACCGATTCGATTCGCTCGTGGCTCGTTGTTAGAATCTCGGCCAATTAATCGATTCTCCCAAGCCGCATCTATCGTGCCCTCCTGTGTTCGTAATACGGTTCATCGAAAATAATTGGAAACGGACCGATTCCGAGGTCCGGCATAGATCATCCCAGCGCTGCCTGATCTCGATACGCGAAACTTTCGAGATAAACTGGTTCCCTTGCATGCATGTAAGTACGTACG